TTATTGTTCTTGTTTTTATTTGAGATTTCTTTACATTGATTCGTTCTAGAAAAGTTGTCTCTACAATAAAATACAAATAATATTATACACTGTACAACACCAGGCTCAATCGGGCTCAAAAATCTCTTAGTACACGCCAGGTTCGTTGGGGTAGCGACAGCTTCCTATTCTCCTGCAGAAACGTTTTCTTCTACACCAAATATCGGGAACTACACTAGATTTGCACTACGAGGATAATAACAATATTACAAATACAGATGTCGATGCAGGTTTCACATTCGTCGCGTAATAAGATATCTATACATTCTACAGGAGAGAGAAAGCAGCGCTCGAGCTTAACAAATAGCTTAGTCCTGAGTGTGAACCTCTTCTACGTGGCAGGGACAGCGCCGCTTCCTGACGGCGTCTCCCGCTGACAAACTGGCAAGATAAATACTTTTACCGACCAAAAAAAGCCGTTACAAAAATAAACTAGCACATCTGAGTGAGATAAAAGAAAAAAAGGTCTATACAAGAAAACTTATGCACATCACACATACACATCTGTAATTTGGCATCTGTCGAACATATATATAGATTTTTTACATTTCCCAGGACAAGACTAATAAAAACATTATCATTATTACAAACACACAAAACCTAAGACACTCATACAAATATATCCCTGGCTTTTACAATACAAATATAAAAATCTAGTCATCTGTGGTCCATATTCCTCGTTTTTATGCCACTAAAATAGCCCAAAATATGTTTGATTCATGCTGACGCTAGTTCAACCTTAAGGCATCCATTAACTCGGGAATTTCTTGTGTGGCAAACGCATAAACTGGGAATATGACCCAACTAGAGGTGACACAGCTGGTGATGCCACAGCTGGTGGTGACCCTGGCGACGTACCCCCCGAGAAAACCTGGTCCTACACGCTGGACTGTACACGCCCTCGACACACCAGCCCTCCTGGCCGCCGGAGAAGCCCCAGGCGGAGGGTCGCGGCGGAGGGCAAGGAAACGGGAGACGACTGCCTGGCTGGCCTCGTCGCTCCCTGGCTAGCGAGGCCGAGGGCAAGCCGCGCGTCCGCCTGCCTTGGTTAGCATGCGCCGAGGTCAGCCAGGCAATACACAGGGGTTCCTCTAATAGTAGTGAGGTAATAAATTGATAATATTTTTTTTTGTAAAATAAGTCTTCGTTTGCGGTAGTCGAAGACGAGGTTTGGGTCTTGACGATCCTCCATTCTCCATCTGACCTCATTCTGTAGCTATAGTTTTCTCCGACTATCAACATGACATTCACATCTACTCGCTATGAGACATGTTTTACAAACACTCTTTTCTCACTGCATCACTTCGTTTCAACGCCCATGGCACCTTTATTTCCGTGACACTTTTTTTTGCACTGTCTATATCAGGCGTGTCTGTCAACCACTAGTCTTTTGTTTTCTTTGCAAGCAGTAGCCGTGATGACGTCATTCGCACTGACGTCGCATTATATAGATCGGTCCGGGTTAGAGATACGGCCTTCACTTCCATAAATAAGAATTTTTATACAACGAGCATTTCATGGGAGCAAAGGAAACAGGTACTTCACTGGACACTGTCAACACATACTGACCTTCTGAACAATAAAAAAACAACTGTGATCCTTGCCTTCTTCAGCGGTATTGGATAAAAAAAAAACTATATATAAAAATGCACAGGGAATACTAAGGCTTCCCAAGACAAAATATTTGAGGTAAGAAAACACAAGTATGTCTTGCTCTCGCGCACCTGACTTTTTTTTGTTCTCAATAAAAGGGAGGAAAAAGAAAATGAGTAATGTAAGGGAAGAGAAAAGTGTCGACTCATAATACTGGTTCATACTGTTTGCGCCTCCTTGTTACGCACGAGACATAGCAGTCTAATTGGCAGTTAGTTTTTAAAGGGGTGTGGTGGGGGGGGGGGGAATTGTGCCCTGGCCTTATGTTTGAAGTCTTACGATTTTATCTTTAAACGGTGAATTATGTTGAATGTACTACCATTATATTGCTAACGTGGAGATTTCTATGGTGCCTCACGCTAAGGACGTGACTTACATAGTCTCAAGCACTATTGTATACTTTTTCACTATCTAAAAAATATTTAAAGAACTTATTTTTGTTTGTTTATATGCTTTGTTTACACTCTCTGAGAATGGCATGAGGATCCTCTAAATGACATATAATGCAATTCTCTTTTTTTCCAGGAAACATTGTAACTCCAAGAGAAAAAATAATAATTGGAGGGACAAAGAGGTAGATGTGAAGGTTTGAGAGAGTGGGACTTGGGGTTTGGGGTTCTGAGACATCCCGGAAGGAACCAGCGTTTGCCTCAAAGTTTCCAATTTCAGCTTTCTTGCAGGAGGCGGGGGATTACGGGGGAGGGGGCAGGGGGTAGACGTCTTGAAATCATCTGTGAGGAGTCTGCGGACGCCCTGAGGTGAAGGTGTACTGGCAACTGTAGGTGGAGCTTTTGATGTAGGTCTGTACGACTCGTAAGGTTTATTTTCTTCCTTAAACCGAGACCCGGGGGACGAAACGGACGGGGGAGGGGGAGCAGAGGGAAGGAGGGGGAGGGAGGTTCAACTCTTGATCCGGTGCGTCTGTACGTCTTATACTCTTCGGTCACTGGAGCTTTTCTTTGAAGATCACGTCTCACAAGAAGGCGCTGGCAAGGGACAAAAGATTCTTTGACGAGTGGAGTAACTGAGTTCGGTTCGGCTTGTTTGATTTTGGCTTCGGCTTCCCGACGGAGGCCCCGCTAGCACCATTTCGGAAGAGGCAGAGGCGAACCTGGAAGGGAAAAAAAGAAAAATTGATAAAAACGGAAAGGCGGGTAAACTTCTGCTAATATACAAAAATAATTCTATGCATTTTAGGGTTAGAGGAATTTTGCAATTACAAATGAAATTTCTTGGCAGCAACTCATTTTTAATAAACAAGGATTATAAAAAGAATCGAGACGTAAAATCACTGATTACAAAGTAATAAAGGATTGCGTGTCCCTTCTAATGTAACCTGCAGGGTCGTAACAGTTACCATTTCTATGCAAAGTAACTTTCTAATTTGACAGCTCCAGAGTTCGTACTGATGGCGACGTCTGCGCCCTAACCTGCCTAACTACCTCTTAAACCCTGCGTAGTCAAAGTTATGGAGATTAATTTTTCTCTGCTTACGCCAATTTCTCCAAGAAGAGAGAAATGAAAGAGAAGGAGAGATAGGGAAAAAAGATGGATACAGAGGTAACGTAGCACCTGAGAGCTCGGGTCGTGTCGGCAATACTACGAAACAACTCATAATATGAAACTGACTATAATCTCACTTTCCTCGCGCTGCGCTCGCCGCGTCGCCCCTGTTCCGGGAGGCCGTAGAAGCGAATGTGCAAGCACGAAGGCGCGAGGGTTACGTCCGAGACCACGGCCCTGGCCATTACAAATAAAGTCAGCTCTAGGCACGCGACAATCGCCCTTATGGGGCTTAATAAGGCAAAACTCCGGGCGAGCGAGCGGAGGGTTCCGCCCCTGTGCCCGGCCTCCGCGCGTCGCCCATTTAGATAACCCAAAACCGCGAGAGGAGACATTCCGCAGATTACGGCTGGCCCGGGTTATCTACCTCGGACCACCGCCACGAGGCTCCGCTACCTTAACTTACGATGCCTGTGCGCCCTTGCAAGCCCTCCCTGCCTCTTGCCCCAACGGCCTCCCCCTCCGCCGTCTCCGCGCAGCGCAGCCGGCACTGGTGGCACAGCCAGCAGGGTCACGCGACGGTGGTAGTTAAAGGCAGAGGTGGTGCTAGAGGTGTGTGCGCGAGGGGGGTGGGGGGTAGAAGGCGTTGGGAGAGGGGGGAGTACGAGAGGCGCGTTGGCATACGTCCTTCTTGCCCCGGCGCGCCACACACCTCGCCGTGGATTGAGACATCAACGTCAGACCAGGTAAATACACCCGACCCCGCTACACCGACCACCCCGCCCACCGCCCACCCCTCGAGCCCACACACAACCAACGCGCCTATACCGAGGGGGAGGGGGGAGGGGGAGACGGGTACATTCCAGCAGGAACTTATCTTAATATCATGCGGCGAGGATATGGTGCCCGGTGTGATGCGAGATGCTACGGAGATACGGCCAGCTGGTCATTGTGTTTGTGTTAGTTATACGCCTTCGTGTGCGTGCATGTGTGTGTGAGTGAGGGAGGGAGAGGGAGAGAGAGAGAGAGAGAGAGAGAGAGAGAGAGAGAGAGAGAGAGAGAGAGAGAGAGAGTGTGTGTGTGTGTGTGTGTGTGTGTGTGTGTGTGTGTGTGTGTGTGTGTGTGTGTGTGTGTGTGTGTGTCTGTGCGCGTGTGTGTGTGCGCGCGTGCGCGTGTCTGTATAACTGGCTCTTAATGAGGGATTCATGCAAGCTGGCCATTATTTGTGAGGAAGAAAAAATACAGTTTTACGGGTATAATTCGACGCACGGGGACTGCGCCAAGCGAATTATTTTGTCCTGTGGCCGAGCTGAACAACTATTTGATTCTTATGATTATCGAATATTCCAGCATCATACACTTTGGCAATTATCCTGACTAATTGCCCGACGCCTGCGCCCCACTCGCCAGCGTCTCCTGCAGGAGGTCATATCCCCCCCCCCCCCGACTCCTCTCCCCTTTGGAAACGGCCGCCGGAGACCCGCGCTTCGGGTCCCCCTGAGGATTCCCTAATTTCGCACGGGCGCCGTAATGACCGGGTCGGGCGGCCGCGGAGGTCCGAAGGGCGGCGGCGAGATCAAAGTCCGGCCCCGTGATTGAATTCTTCACACAATCACCGCACAATAATGGCGCTCTGATGCGAAATTAGCGACGCTGCGGCCCCGTTCATTGTGCTGCGCCCCCCCCCTCCTGCCGGCCACTCTGGATCCAGGGCCAAAAGCGCTGACACTCTTCCTCGGATTCTCTCTGACACTCGCCCTCTCCCTGAGCTGACACTTGCCCTGACACCTGTTCTGCGAAAGACCCAAGTGTGTGCGTCATGGGCGTGGTGGTGCGGAAGGGATGGGGGTATATTCAAGGGGACCAAGTGCGCCCATGTCTCCTTGCAATGCATGTGTTGCCATACCGCGGGCGACGAGGTTTAGGCGACGGAGTGAGGGTGATGAGGTAAAGATGAATGGGGTGAGGGTGACGAGTTGAGGATGATGAGGTAAGGGCGACGAGGTAATTGCGAAGGGCTAAGGGTAACCAGGTTAGGGTGACGGGGTAAGGGTAACCAGGTTAGGGTGACCAGGTTAGGGTGGCGGGGTGAGGGTGACGAGGTGAGGTGGCAAAGACTCCGGAGACACTAACGAAGGAACACAACTTTCACAATCCGGCTACAATCACCTACACCACCTGCCCCCTTCCCCCCCTCCCCCTCTTCCCGCCTCTAAGTCATAACCCGCGAAACCCTCCCTCATCACTAAAACCCGCCCTCGTCTCTGTCATCACACTCTAGTGGTTTTGTTAATACACTCCAACCAGGCACTACATGTTACTTTTTTTAGCATTATCAGTCTGGGTTAATCTGACTCTCCTTATCATAATCTTCTAGAGCCTAATCATCACCGATTCAATTGACATCATTAACCCCGGGCTGGTATGCGGTTGCCAATTAGGGCATCTGCTACTAGAAATTACTAGGAGGCATAACTTGTTAACTAAAATCGTCGTAACAAAACCAGTATGCTAGAGGCAGACAGGGTGGGGGTGGAGGGAAGAGAGGCGGTCAGGCCACCTCTAAGAAGTCTGATGGTCTCTTTAGACTGACGGTGCTCAGGGAAATGATGGCGATGCGGTGCCATAGGTGCACACACAGACACACAGACACACACACACACACACACACACACACACACACACACACACACACACACACACACACACACACACACACACACACACACACACCGCTAGGCAACCTTACCTGCAGATCCATCCAAAAGGAACACAAATTGAGCATGAATAATGGAAAAGCGACGGGACGGGGCACGCACGGGGCAGGTTCGTTGCGACACTGCAGTTCCCGAGCCCAGCAGACCCGCCAAGCACCGAACTGTCAATCACGCAGCCCCAAATGCCGAGGCAGTCCGTGCATGCAAACACTCGTCACTCGTTCCATCCGAAGCAGCCGAGAGCGAGTAGTCATGCGTTCTCGTGGCCTTCCCTTCCTGCCCTTCTTAGTCTACCTCTTCTCCCTCCCCCTCATTCCCTTCTCACTCAGTCTACCCCCCTCTTCCCCTCCCCCCCTTCCCCTAAGTCTACCCTATCCCTCCTGCCTTTCCTTTCAGTCTACCCCTCTCTTTCACCCTTCTCCCCTTCCCTTCAGTCTCTCTTCTCCTTCCCCTCTCCCTCCTCCTCCTCCTCCTCCTCCTCCTCCTCTTCCTCCTCCTCCTCCTCCTCCTCCTCCTCCTCCTCCTCCTCCTCCTCCTCCTCCTCCTCCCCCTCCCCCTCTTCCTCCTGCCCTTTGCCTGCACTCCCCGCCCCCCAGGTAGCGCCCCGGTGGGAGTGCCATAGCGGAGCTAATGTAAACATCGAGAACCGAGTTGGTACAGAGACAAAAGCCTCGTTATCTGCAATATTACTTCGGATTGCAAGGCGCCGAGGCTAGTCTTACATGGGAGAGATAGATAGCTAGATGGCCAGATAGCGAGATAGCCAAGAGCCCTACCCATGTACAGGCGGGGGGAAAATTGGCTACGTGTTTCCTCGAGAGTTGTGTTAAGAAGGCTGTCCTTAATGAGTAAAGTAATTTCGGCAAATGATGATAAGCAAAGAGAGCGAGATATTTATGAGTATCTAAGGACACGTGCAAAAAGGTGTTAAACGCAGGGTCTGGTCTGACTAGCCGACTCCTAAAGGTATATAATCAGCTTGTTAAATCAGTGACAGGTAACCAATCACAAAGCACTGTCAATGACCCACTGACCCACCCTAAAAATAAAACAACAAATAAAAACTAAACAGAATCGCCATTTTCTGTTGTGACGCAAAACGTTTCGTGAATTGATAAGGGGATAACTGCGAGATCTTTTTTGAAGGCAAATCTTCATCCTTACTTCTTACTTATTCTTTGCCATTCTGTCCTATCCACTCCTTTCATAGCTAGCGCAGCATATCCACCCTATATTATCCACTTTGCTTCAAGCCAGACTCACCTCACTTGGGCGAAGATTCGTCCTCCATGTCCGAGGATCCCCTGGAGGAGGAGGCCCCCGTGCCACTGCCGGAGGAAGAGGAGGAGGGAGTGGAGGAGGAAGAGGACGAGTTACTGCCGTTGAGCGAACCCGAACCATGGCTGCCGACGCCAGCGCCTCCGCCGTAACTACTGCTGCTGCTACTACTACTCCGTCGACTGCTGCGTCTGGTGCTACTGCTGCTGCTGCGGTAGGTGGGTTCCACTGAACCTAAAAGAAGATAGAGGGGGCTTTCAAATTGGTGTGTATGATATCAGCCGTTTTTTAACACGTAACACGAAACATG